GTAGCAGTAGCAGTAGCAGTAGCAGTAGCAGTAGCAGTAGCAGTAGCAGTAGCAGTAGCAGTAGCAGTAGCAGTACGTAGCGACAAATGACAAAAATGAGGCTTCAGCATCACTGGCCTCATGTAACTAACCGGCTGACTGCGACACAATAACAATTACTTCATTAATCCGCCTATAACACAACTCCCGTCAGTGTAATGAAATAATGTACTTTGTTTAGCCATAAGATCATGTACGAGTGTCTACGATGTTTGCTTGGTAAAACCCGCCTCTACTCTAGTCCTTTCTGTGTTTAATTTAAGTACAACACATTTTTGCAGCATTTAATAAGGATATACTGAACAACAGTATCATAGTAGACGATAATGGTAACATTTATTTTTGGAGGTTTATTCTATTTCATTTTATTTAACTAACACAGCATGGATTAAACAACATCTCAAAGTAATTGTTAGAGAGCTTTACTAGACTTCGTATTCAATCAGTCTGGCTTATGTCTTGTCGGAAATGGATAGTTCTACGGCTGGGGTCTGGGTACCTCCTCTACGAACACACGACTGTTTGAATTCCATCCGGTATAGGCATCCACATTTCCATACCCGGCACAGTTCCCGACATTGAATCCCACACGAACAGGTCCCTTGTGGATCTTGTCACAGTGACCTTCAATATGGCGGACACGGTGGATGTTGTGACCGACTCCCTTTGCCATGTAAACGATACCGTCTATAGCACGGGGGGTCTTGCATTCAGTGCCGTTGAACGTGAAGAACCAGCGCTTACAACAGTTGTTACAATTACTTATTCTTAGGTTGCCATTCCAGTAAACATGGAGGATCGAATCAGTGTATTTCTTTTGGAAAACACAATCCTGCAGTAAAGAGTCAAAGAAGAGAAATGTAACTCTCAATTAAAGAAGATTATCAAACTAAGCATAAATATGGGATTCTCATTCTATATTGGGAATATGGTAATTAAATCTTCTGGGTCAAACATACATACATACATCCATACACTTTAATGGACTCCCAAAAGGGCTTTTCAGGTCAATATACAATAAGAACAATTCTAAATTAAAGAAATACATGTACAAACAAAGAAACTGATAAATGAATAATAAAAAAACTATTATTATTATGCTATAAATAAAGTCTTATAGTTATCATAGTAATACAACTATCAATTAAGTCAATAATAATAAAAATGTATAAAAATGTATATGTGGAATGTATTACTTGAGCTTTTGATTGAGGTTGACAGGCTGTTCCAAATTTTAGTACCTCTGTAAGAGAAACTCTGTTGACGAGTGGCAGTTCTACTCTTAGGGATTTGTAGGTCACCTTTCTTTCGAGTGTCCCTTGAGTGAACATCAGAACGCTTGACAAACATAGAYGAGAGGTAATCAGGAGCCAAGGAGTCCATGCATTTAAACATTAGCAATGCATCTCGTAAGTACAATGTGTCCACAACAGGTGATAACTTAAGTTGCTTCAATGTTGGGGTTATGTGTTCGTACTTCCTTTTCCCAGACAGAATACGCGCCGCCAAGTTTTGTACAAGTTTTGAGATGTTACTCTTCCTAGTGCCTACCCCGCGAGCAGGTAAAGGAGACTCTGCTCGCAGGGTAACTAGTGCCTGACCATACACTGGAACAGTAGTACAGCTTGCTGAAAACAAGAGAATTTATGACAATGGACAGACTAGACGCATCTAACAGATGGCGGATCCTGCTGATCATGGACAATTTACCCAAAACTGCGTTTTGTCTGGATTTATCATGAGGGAATTATCGCTACACCATGCAGGCAGAAGTCTCAGTAGATCATCAAGTCCCCAAGGCCTTTGGAAGATTCCCCTTTAGAAAATGTGATGTATAATTTGGAATCATCAACATAGGACTCACACACAGATGGTAAATCATTTATATAAACATTAAATAACAATGTACCCAGTATTGAGTCTTGAGGTACCCCATGTTTTAACACCAGAGGACTGGATAGAGAGGTGTTGATACGTACACGTTGAACTCTGTCGGACAAATAGCTTCTAAACCACTTCAATACTGTAGAAGAGACACCAAGATTGTCAAGTTTCACAAGTAATCTTTCATGGTCAATGCTATCAAACGTTTTGCTAAAGTTAAGTAGTACTGCTGAGGTGATCTTCCTTTTATCAGTCGCTCTATACACTTGACTTGTAAAGTAGATTCCAAGCGTTTCAGTGGGGTGAAGCTTTTTGTTCCCGCTCTGATGGGGTGAGAGCAACGCGTTGGAACTCAGGTAGCTAGTTATCTGATCATGCAAAAATCTCTCAACAACTTTCGACACCGCAGGAAGTAGGGATATCGGTCTATGGTTGCTGGCTACTTCACGATCCCCTTCTTTGAGGTGTGTAATAACGTCAGCTGTTTTCCAGGTTTTATGGAAGATTCCACCACAAAATGATTCATTGATCAAATCGGTGAGAACTTGGATGATGTGAGGTAGACCAATTTTGATCACCCTCATACTGAACTTGTCATGACCAGGGGATTTGTTTGAAACCATTTGCATGATGGTGTCTCTGACTTTAGTGACAGTAACGCGCTGAAAATTAAATGAAGGAGAGATTGCAGCTGCAGCTAAATTCAGGATTCAAAGACAAAGAATCATTGGACTGTAAGTTGAAATCAGTTTCTGAGTTGGCCAGTTGCTGAGCCTTTTGGGCAGCTTTCTCTCCTACAGAAGAGAAGAACGTGTTGAAGTCATTTGCAACCTCCACACAGTCACGTGAATGTGGAAAAAAGGAGGTATCAGAGGGGTTGAGACATCATCGGACAGTTTTCCATATAGACGTCCTGTTTTCTTTGTTGTTCGTTATTTCATCTCTAAGATAGTTGGTTTCTGCTGTTCTAATCCTCGCTTTAACATCAGCTTCCCAATCTCCAGGGTTACAGGAGTTACGGGCTATTCGACGTAGACTGTCGCGATTAGATTGTTCATAAGTGCCTTTAAATCCGCAGTGATAAATGGAGTTGAAGTATGTCTAACGTTGAAGGTTCTTATAGGAGCATGCTGCTCCAAGACCTGAAGAAAAAGACGGTTAAAGCAATCTACCTTGTCTTCAAGCTCATCAAACAGGCTGGTAACATCCCAAGGAACTATTGCAAGGTCACTAGCAAAGGATTCCGCATGGAAATTCTTGTAGGACCTTGTAGTGATCGCGGTTGGCTTGCCTCTGGCTATCTTCAGGTTGAGTTTTGCATATACTAGAAAGTGGTCGCTAATGATTATATCAAGGACATCACAGAGCTTCACAACACTTACATTGGAGGTGTAAATGTGATCAATCAGTGTGCTGAAAGACTCAGTAACACGGGTTGGCTTGGAGTTAATTGTGTCAAATTTAAAAAGGCAATAAAGTTATTGACAGCAGTGGTCTCCGGCCTATCATAACGTAAGTTGCAGTTCAAGTCACCTGTTATGTCTTTTCCAGGTGTTAGAGCTTGGCAGTACGCCGGGAAAAAGTTTATCCTCTAGACAAGATACGGGACAGCCATGCACCGAACTTAAATACATCAAAGAATGCCGCCTCATTATCACCTGATATCCATTGTTTTTAATGAGTTCGACGTTTGCCCTAGGCCTAAGCCTCCGGTTCACATTAGGGAGGGTATAGAGTGATATGCAGTTGCCAGGAGTACGGGACCTATGTTGACTACGGTTTTTATACACTCTATTGGTATATTCCTGTAGGTATTCGATGGCTGATAGGTCCAGGGCTAGTAGAAATATCTCCACCCCTTAACAGCATTTGTCTTGAGGAGTATGAATTAGGATAATACATACATCGTCCCTTGGTTCGTTTGGGCTTCCTGTGTGTGTATTGTGTATTTACGGTAGTAAATGATTTATGCATCTCTAGGTCCCAAACACAGGATTTAGATATTTGAAGCAATGGTTTCCTAGGCTCCGGGACCTCAACATCCTCTTGAATTAACGTGGAGAACTCATAAAATTTGGACTTTGTAGAATAATTCGGTTCAATGGTTCTGAGGTTGGTTCTTTTGTCCAAAGGCGTCGTTGGCCAAGGATATCATTGTCCATTTATGCTAATACTGCTGTACTCTACCAAACTCAAATTGCAGAGAGAGGGACAAATATTCAGTCCCCCCGACGTATTGCTACATGACAAATCCAATACATCTTGTCCAAAAGCTTTCAAAAACCGGTATGTAGGCGCATCAATGTTAAGAAACGTATACAGAGTCAAATAATTGACGATAAAGGAAAAAAATAGCGAAGCGCCATTCTATGCCGCCGTACCTCATTGCTGCCATCATTGATAAAAAATCAAGTCAAACATCAAGTCTTGGAATATATATATTTTTAAAGAATGGGCTTATGAACTAGGAATATGCTTATCCAGTTGAAACAATCTACTGCCAAAGTAAGCATACCTACCCTGATCAGCCCATTGTCTTTTCCGTCGTTGATTTTGGTCCACGAACATTCTTTCCAGTTTGAATAGGCTGAGAGTTCTTTCTCCCTAGGCTCACCCTTTTCTCCTTTTGGGCCAGAGTCACCCTTTGGACCCTGAGGACCAGTGTTACCGGGTGTACCAGCAGCTCCGGGAGGTCCTTGCTTGCCTGGAGTCCCGTGAAACCCTCGAGGACCTTGTTTACCTTGAGTACCTGGTCTGCCATCTCGTCCGTCTCGTCCAGGAGCACCGGGTGTACCGTGGAGACCAGGGATACCAGGACGACCCGCCAGACATGAAAAATCTGATCTGGGCTAAAAAAAGGTGAGGACCATAGTTTAATTATGGGTTCGAAACTGATGTAAGTGTGCATCATTTGCAAAGAAACGCAAGGGCTGACTGTAAAATTAACGACCCGGCCGAGTATTTTGTATTCATTGTACAGTCAGCAAGCTTGGTATTTAGTACGAGCCATTGCGAGGTTTAGAAAAAAAAGAACTGGTTCGAGTTGCATTGCAATGCAATGTGGGAACTGATTTATGGGACTAAATGGCAACTTGGAAATATGTCCCCCAAAACAGACCCAACGCGTATTACATTGTCAAATTCAACCAGTTTTTTCATCGACTTTGGAATGGCCAACTTCAGCGGAGGATCCACTAGTATCCTAGAATGCAGTGCAACTGGGATATTTAAAAAAATTCGTTTAAACAGCTAAAATTAATATTTTCGAAATTAAAAAATTGAATTGCACATAACTAGAGAGTATGTAATACCTTTTAGCGATATCTATTTCTAAATTCTTCAAGAGATTTAAATATACTCGTCAAAAGACTGGAACCCTTTTTGAGTAATTTCAGACGTTCAGTACACATCCTACAACTGGATACTTTTGTTTGCAAAATTAGTCATGTCTTTATGAAATACTAAAGCAAAGGACCGTTAAAAAAAGATTCAAATAAACATGTGAAATCCAAAGAAAACAATTGAAAGCGTGGTCTGCTCTAACTTTATGTTCTTAGATTTTTATGTCTCTTAATCTGTGCCTTTACAATATACAACTATGGCCATTTTTTCGCAATTGACAGACCAAAAAAAAAAACATAAGCAAAGATAGTAATGTTACAAACTAATACATAAAGAGTTTAATGTTACCAGGTACACAAAGATTCTAACCAATAATATAATGTGCTTGAATTAAAAATAGCATCAAAGACTCTAAAAATAGCATCAACGAGTGCTCATGATGGGGTGCGGGGATTCCTTCTCTT